GATTAAACGGGTCCGTGGGGGGGCGGGGCGGCGGTCGGGGGCCGGATGCTCCATTCGCCCATCCTGGACCCCTCTCGTCAGCCTCATTATTGTACACAGAAACCCCACAGCGAAGTAAAATAAAAAACAACAATACAAACAGAGATCAAATACATTAAAAATAGAGAAAACGCCCAAAAATAAGGTGAATCCGCGCGTTTCAGTTCCATGTATTGTAAATGGCACAAAGGCAACGCGCCTGTGTTGTTGCGAGCGTGCCGCCATTTCCCCGGCGTTGTGCGTTGTGATGCTTCGAGTTGCCATAAGTGGTGATTGTGCAATGTTTGGCATGTTCAGTGCGTCGACAGCCGATTGATTTCAATAGGCTGCCTTAATACAACGCATGATAACGCGCGTCTACGCACTGCAAAAAAATATATGTGTGAGCTTAATAAAAAAAAAAAAAAGAATAAAAACACCCCAAAACACACAACGAAAAGAGAACTTTTTGTCCAACAAATTTCCCTTTTCTGCAAAATTTCCCCATAAAACACTCGGCCAGCTCAAGCCGGGAGCCTGTCGGGATGAAGGATGCAGAGAACCCTGGTAATGGTCGCTGAGGGGGGGCGGAGCTAAGAGCGGGCGGGGGTTCGGTTTGGTCCAGAGTGGCTGTTATTTGTTTTACATTGCATTATTGCGCACATTATAACATTCTGTAAGAAATGTTTATTCCTAATACAGCACAACTGTGCACATAATACAATGCTCCTCCTCCTGAGCCTGGTCATGTGATAGATGCTGAGGCAGTGGTCACATGATCTCTCACAGAGGCTGCTGGTTGGGTCATGTTCAGGTACAGCTGTCCAGTCAGGGATTCGGTGTATACAAGGATTCTCTGCCTTGGCACAGATCATGTGACCGGCAGCGTCCAGGCATCGGAGGGGTACAAAAGTACTTTAAGAAATGGAAGTATTTTTGGGCCCTTTTATGATCTTTTCAGGCTGAATAAATATATAAAGTGTCCCCCCTCCTTCCTGACTCGAGAGATTACAAAGCTGGACAGTGAAATGAACAATTCGGAATATTGTATTTACTCCACCGTGGTCGCGCGCAGGCTCTTGAAGCGTTTGCAGTTGAGATTGCCTGACAGAAGTGGTGAAATGGAGACACGTTAGTGATTATAGAGCACTTTCTGTTGCGGGCTGACAACGCTAAGACGCTGTTCTGCAATAAGCTGCCTCGTTGTCAGCCCGCCCTGTGCACGCCTTCACTCCTATCAAGTCTATTAGACAACCCAACAGCCAACTAAAGGAGTGCACATGGCGGGCTGACAGCGTGCAGATAATTGCGAAACAGAGGATTAGCGTTGTCGGCCTGCCGTGTGCACTTCTTCAGTAGCCATTGGGCTATGTATCAAGTCTATTAAGCATCCCAATGGCCAACTGAAGGAGTGCACATGGCAGGCTGACAACACTAAGCCTCTGTTTTGCAATTAGCTGCAACGTTGTCAGCCCGTCTTGTGCACTCCTTTAGCTGGCCATTGGGTTGTCTAATAGACTTGATAGGAGTGCACATGGTAGGCTGACAACGCTGCGGCCTTTTGCAATGCAGTGGCTTAGTGTTGTCAGCCTGTCTTGTGCACTTCTTCACTCCTATCACATCTATTAGACAACGCAAATGGCCAACTAAAGTAGTGCACATGGCAGGCTGACAACACTAAGCCTCTGTTTTGCAATTAGCTACAGCGTTGTCAGCCCGCCATGTGCACGCCTTCAGTTGGCCATTGCGTTGTCTAACTTCTCAGGAATAAAGCGTTTCACGCAAAAACATGTCCGACCGTCACATTATTCCACCGCAAAAGAAACCTAAAAAAAAAAGAAAATCGGTGAACCGTCCGTCGTCGCTCTGCACGTTGGGCGCTAAAATGACTGATTCCGATAATCTCCATTAATATGAAGCTTAATTTCCTGTTAATTAAAATCTCTTTTTATTATTTTAGTTGTATCGGGTTTTTTTTTTTGTCCTTCTTGGAGGATTAGAAGTATCAATTTATTTGACTGTCACCGGATCTCCAGCAGAGATACCGCACCACAACCTCCCGGCGGTACACCCGGCGCCTCCAATACACCCGCGGCGTCCCTCCCCCGCGCTCTTATTAAAGCGGCCCGGCAGTCCATCCATATCTTGCACTTGTGACCTCACCAAAGACGCCCCCCATCCCCCCCGGCTCTGCTAGACTGCAAGCTCCCGTGACAACACCCGGATCTCCTGCGTTTGGTTCCGATGGGTTTTTATGTTTTTCGGCTGCAAATTTCATGAACTTTGTAAATAACGCCGGTCTGTGTTCAGCCATATTGTTTGGCGGTCTCTGTTGACGCCTCCCGCCCGCGTAGGGTTGCCACCTGTCCAGGATTCACCCGGACAGTCCAGGTTTTGAATGCTGTGTCCAGGTTTCATGCCAGCAGAAACGCAGATGCAAGATGTCAGGCAGACAGGGGCAACCAAAATTAAGATTGGAGCTACTGGCTACCCACTGAAAATAGTCTCAACGGTGATATTTACATATGAATAAGCCATGAATCATTCTCCCAAGAAAAAAATGTTAGCGCCTTGCTAGAGTGTTCGGGTTTTGCTTGAAAAAAAAAAAAGGTGGTAACCCTACGCCCGCGCCGGTCTGATACCAGAACGCCGCACGGTAATTATAAGAATCGAGAAGGAAAAATAAAGAGATTCTTTTTGTCTGGCGCTAAAATCAAACTATACAAACGCACAACTATAGGAGTCTACGCTCCCCCCCGGTGTTTGCGTCTCGGTGCCGCACCCACGGGCCTACATCTGCCTGGATCCTGCATTGCTCTATCTTTGCTGACAATGTGACTGCATCCCCGCCCTTCACAGCTTGAGTGACAGCGGCTCTGGGACATGTGATCTCCTTCCTAGTCTCCGCCCCCAGCCCTCAGAGCTAGGGGGGATAAGAGGCAACCTAGTGGTCACGTGACCACCAATAACATCTCTAAAATTGAGTTTTTAGATTGTTTTAGTTTTGATTTCAATAGAAGGAAACATATCAAATAAATTCTCCGGTTCACAATGAGGATTTGATGTCCGTTGACTTCGCAGATACGTAAAAGTAGATCTCAATCTACTCCCCTAAAATCTCTTAAAGGACAGCTCAGCCCAAGAACAACAATGTCATATCCTGCAGCCTCTTAGTCCTTCCATGTGGTGGCTGCATTAGATTCAAGGCACAGAAAAAAAAACACCCGCTGATCCTGCCAGAAATGCAGAATCCCCGTCACTTCCTGTGGGAGGAGCTGTAAGCGCCAACCATGTTATCTTTCTTCTGTGAACTACTAATCCCCCCATGTAATGGAGATGATGAAAAGCAGGCACATTTTTAGTCCAGCCTGGGTGGTGATGGGTGATGATTATGTCACGCCTCTACTCAACAGTGACAACCATGGCTTCCTCTACAGTGAAGGAGTGGGCGTAGCCACTCAGAAACAGGAAGCGTGTAATTCGCATTATAAAAGGGGGAAAAAGCCTGAAAAAGGAAAACAAATGCAGCCACGTCATCTAAGGACCAGTAGGCTGCAATATACTACATTGTGGAACAATATACAGATATACAGTACCTACTCATAGGACTAAGGTACCGTATATCGGCATCGTAGCATCAGCGGGCCGAAGATGCACCTTAATCTGCCCCGGGCTGTCTGGGCTTTGTAGTTCAAGTGCTTCAACAGCTCCAGTCATCCGATTGCTTAGGTATTGCAATCCCAGCCATGAAACATTTAAAAGGAGAACTATGAGGGGCGTGATTTTCCCTCACCTCATAGTTCTAGCCGACGTGCGACAATGAGACTGTCACAGGTCGGCTCAGTAGATCGGGAGGTGAGCGAACACATACCGGCGCTCGCTCATCTCCCTGCAGGGACCCCCCTCCCCGCTCCTCCAGCGCTGACTGGCGGAACGGACGGGGGAGGGGGAGGGTACAGCTGGCTCTGCCTCTAGATAGGCAGAGCCAGCTGTCAATCAAGCAGCTGGGTGGATCTCGACAGTAATGTTGGGAACCGTCCCGGCTGCGGCGGTCTCAGTATACCGCGAGCTGTAGCTTGCGGTATACTGAGCTTTGGGTCACAGGAGGACGCTAGTTTGCATCCTCCCGTGACCCTAAGGAGAACTATGGTGGAAAACACTTACCCCCCCATAGTTCTCCTTTTAAATCAACTTCTGAATCCAACCTTTTAATAGCCCGAATCAACAATTTGTCGCAATTTGTATCGCCCCCCCCACGAACAAAATCGTCACACAAATGTGCGTCACCGTAAAAAGAAAGCGCGATCAAACGTCCGGAACGAATCTTAAAAACATTGACACGACAACCGACGCCTGGGCAGCCGCAGCAACATTGCATCCTGTGTGCTGCAGCTCCACGCAAAGGGCGCCATCTTGTGGCTGCAATCGGTACGGCAGGAAGTAAAAACGAACATCATTATATACAAATTAAAAAATATAGATTTCAGTTTTAGTATCGAATTCAGCAAGTGCGACGTATAGACAGAACTGCCCGTTACTGCTAGTTCTAGATTGCAATGAGCCATTACTTTGTTGCTCGGGGTAAGTTACCTTCTTGCAATTTAGCTGTTACCCCTCTTTCCTTGTTCCTGCTTTAGACGGATGTACAAAAATAGGACCTGGTTTATCCTGCCCTGATAAGGTGGGATCATCAATATATAAGTTAGGTATATATTTATATATTATTACATAGGATAGGCTGATTATATACAAGTAATGAGGTTTGCCTTTTTTTTTTCCCCCTTGGTTTTCATTGTTTTGTAAAATCATCACTTTCAGACTCCTTAGTATCCTACGGAAACATTGCAAGGCCTGTCAGCGCACCAAGGGTTAAAGAGTACATGCACTGTGTCTTCCCCC